AACCATCAATTATTAATTAAAATCATAAAAGAATTTGTGTCGATCTGATGTGATTCAAAGGGAAATTGTAATTCCTCTTTCATTTTTTTTCTTTTTTTTTTCTCTTTAATTTATACCATTCGCTTTTTTCTTCAAAATACAATAATGCACTCAGTTGATTAAAGTAACTAGCTTGTTAAGTTCTTTTCATAAGAAGAGTGGTACTTCAATCTCTTGAAAGAAATGAAGATAGAACGCGTATACCAATTCTTTTATCGCAAATAAAATCATTATTTTTACTAATTAGAAAGAGAATAAATATAATCAGATATCTTAAAACCGTTGATTTAATAATAAAGCAATTTAATTTTTCAATTAGTTGTTCATTAAAAAAAAAAAAACAAAAAAAAAACAAATTTTTATTTCAAAAAATCAATCGAAATTGATACTCGATTTATTGTTATATAAATTTGTTATATATTAACAATAAGTTATTTTAATATGAAGTAATCTCTTTTGAAATATTCTTCATAAATTCATCTTATTGTTAAATAATTGTTTATCAAAGAGAGAAATAATATTCATAGCATTTCTAAATAATTGAAAGTCTTCAAAGAAATTCGATCGGGTAAATATTTAATGTAAAAAGAATTCGTACGCTATTATTGTAGCATGAACCAAAAAAAATAAGTTGACTGATGTGAGTGACATTGATGACGTAAATAGAAGGTCGAACGAGATAGACCGATGCGTTTGATGACTAACAGGTTGTTAGAAAAGATTGATAATATATACCTTAGTTAATTTATAAACACTTCGTATTAGAATTTAAATCGAAAATTTTACATAATAAAAATATAAAGACTATAGAGTTTTGTCCTATTTTTTTTTTACATTTCCTTATTTAAAATTCAAGAATAAAACTAACTTATTCTATAAAGTTATTTAAATTACAAATACCATACGTATCTATATTGTTGTTTCAAATAATCGTAAAATTTAACACGTTGATGTTGCTTTCCTTTCTTTTTCGTGGCCAAATAAAAATATTTTACTTTTGATATATTGGATGTTTTGTTTTCAATTACTTTTTCCATATATAACTTCGCTCCTGTTAATTTTATAAATAAAAGTTATTACATTCTTCGATATAAATATAATAATATTTGCAGCCATTTTACATTTAAACAATATTTTTATGTGTTGTAGTGCAATGAAATTTAACAATGTTTGATAAAATTAAGTAACAAAAATTGTAACGTTTTGTAACGTACTATAAATGTAGAATGTTACAGTTATAACATGCACGAATATGGCAGTAATTCTCTTTTATAAGGTATCCTAAAAACTTTTATAATTTTAAAAGAAAATTATTTTTTATTTTTAAGGCTTATTATTTGTTATTATTTGCTGCAAGTTGTTGTATTTAAAATATCAATTTCCATTAAACTAAATTTTTGTGACTTTCTATGTACCGACAAAAGGACCTTCTATAATATAACTAGAATAAATATTATATTTTCACTTCAAAACCTAAAAACTTTTATTTGAAATATATCTGATGGTAAGTCTTGTATGTGGAAAATGTTTTGGTGGTATCATCGAGATACTAAAAAAAAATTAACTTCGTTGCAGACGTGACGAATGTCACGTATTTATTATTTTACTTATTTACTTTCAAACGGTACTTTGTACAGAATTTGATCTCCCCACTGGCTCACACACACATACACACTTGCTTATTCTTATAACTCACCTGCGGACAAATAGATAAGGTCGGATTGTAATTTCACGGCTATTTCACTACGATTACATTTAAACTATAAATAAGATTCAGCTGGATAGTTTTTCGAAAATATCTTATCAACTTGAAAGCTTCTTTTATTAAATAAAACCACTCGTACACGACAAATCGATTAATTAAACTGAAAAAAGAAAAAAAAATGAAAGAAAAAATTTGATAAAGTAATATTTATTCTGTTGTATTATTTATTTGTTAAACGATTATAATAATTATTGTTATTTAATAATGTTAAAAATATTTATTTTTAATATAAGAAGTTAAACAACATTAATCAAGTAACTTAAAATAATAAAATTATAGTTGATTCGAGAAATAAATAGCTTCGCGAATTGTAAATTTACTCGTATAATAACATTTTCCTTGGAAAATTTGTTTTTTACAAAAAAAAAAAAATAATAATAATAAAATACATCATTTAAACCGTTACGTGATCGGAAAATAACAATTTCCGTGAGAAAGGAATCGTGTTAACGAGTCGTTACAGCATCATCACCAATGTAAGATTAACTTTAACTTGTAGATAATTTTGTCCAATTAAACGATGATGGACTAGAGTATTGTAGGACATATGTGCGTTATTACACTTTGTGACGTATATAATTGAAAGTGAGGTTTTATATGGTCCTTGTTAAAAAAAATTATTCATATATATATAGTTAATAACAACACGTATTGCATACGAAATTGACTAATTCTTTTTTATTAATAGATATATATATATATAATATTAATAATAATAATAATAATATATTTACATTATTATTACATTTCATTAAAAATATTGCCCAGCATTAGTAGAAAATTTTGTACAAATTGACAAAAAAATATATAAATTACTTAATAAATTTTACGTAAATGTTTCAATTGTGCTAAATGTTTTAAAACGGAGTACAACCATTGTTTCTGACGATTCAAATCATAAATGTATTTCTCTTCCTACATAATACGAAATATATAAAAACGTTTGTTGAAAGAGCTGTTGTAACGAGACGTCATCAACTAGGTCAGTGCAAGTTGCTACTAAAGAAGCTTTTTATTGTATACAGGGTGATCCAATAACTATGATCATTTCCAACATTTTTATTAATTTTTGATTTCATGAAAAAATTTCAAAAAGAACGAGGTCACATTCTTTCAAAGAACACATATGATCGTGGAAAACATTTAATTTCGAACTTATATATATTACTATTTTTTTTTTAAATGAAAATCAATGAATCTTTTTTGCATGAACTGATTCGAATCATTCTGAATGTAAATATGTAATGAAAAAAGATTGAAAAGTAATAAATTAATGGTTATATTTTTAAAAAGATTAGTTTATTCTGCTTATACAAGCTGTATCTTTTTTATTTTATTAAATATTATAATTAAATATTATATTATTGCGATTATATTATGTTCACAAGTGCACCTGACGCGCATTTTTTCTTTTTATTTCTCAAGTGCACATTGCTCATGCATTATTGTGTAAAAATATAGATAACCTTGAAATCTTGTAAAAAAGATAAGCTTAAAAAAAACAATGTTAAACAATTTCAAATTTTTCCCTTTCAAACAGAATAATAACTATGTTCTCAACATTTCCTTTATAAAACCAAAAATAACGGAAACATTTAAAGTGGTAATAATTATTAAACTATATATATCGTCGATATATTCATAAAATAAATCGATTCTTTTCAATATGAGGTTTTCTGCATGACTTTTAATATTCAACAAAAAAAATCGTACAGAATAAGTAGTTAAATATTTTGCAAATATTTTTCGAAATTAAATATTATACATATATGACATGTATAATATTTAAAGAATCTAATGCAATGTTTGATATTTTTCACTTGTTGTGAGCATTGGGTGGTCAATAAGTAATATTACAATTATAATAATATATTTATAATTTATATATTTATTTATATACGAAAAATATTTGATTTCGTTTATTATAAGCAAAAAAAAGTATATATATGGACCGTTTATTTTGAAAGTCCACTTTCTCTTGTTTCGAGAAAATTAAAGATTAGCATATCAATGATTACTCAATTTCTTTTACCGACCAATTTTAAATTGTACAAAACATGGGCACTTTTTAAGAAATTAAATATTAACTAGTTATCCCTAAAAAGTTTACAATAAATTATGCATAAATTACGTGATATCTTTTTTTTTTTTAAATGGACTTATATATATATACTGTAAAAAGATATCAAATATTTGTTTTCAATACAAAATAAATGATATATATATAGTGTTCGTTATTGATCAAATATCAAATTCGATACATTTCTATATAAACAAAATATCGATTAATTTGAAACATTAATTTTTGACGGAAATTCAGAACTTATTGACTAATACAATAAAATAAAAACATTTCAAAATTTTTTGGATAAAATTTTTAGTCTGACTGACAATACAAATCCCAACAGCTGTCTTCTTCTCGTGATACACTTTGTTTTGCACGATATCAAAGTGTATTGACATTTTCGATCGACCTAAAATCCTTTTATGTATATATATATATATATATATATATATATATATATATATATATATGTGTGTTATAATTACTTTAGATAACGATATCTGGTACTCGTGATAGACGATAAAGTCTTTATCTATTTATATATAAAATCATGTAAGAATATGTACACGTATACAAACGTATCCCTAACAAAAGTTTATAACACGTACATATATATGCTATTTATTATAAGCTAAAAGAAATAATTGTTAAAGAGAATTGTTAAATAATTTAATTGTTAAAAAAAATCTATGTAAGATTAATAATACGAATTATAGTACAATAGAATATAAAGATTCTGATTGTATTTAAATGATCGAATTATTTCTAATTATTATCTATTTTCTATCAGACAAAATATAGAGACAATTGGTATTAAGCAAGAATCTGTATAAAATGAGATAACACTAAAAACATATTTGTATTTATTTTTCTTACGACATATACATACGTATACTGCTTCTAACAAAGTAACCGTGTTTGCTTGTTATAAGCATACAAATAAAGATATGCATTGGAATTTATTGTTGTTTGTGCATTAAACATTGATAATAAATTTTGATAATATAATTGAAATGAGTAGGAACAAATAATCTAGAACTCGTAATTCAAAATGGTTTTTAATTTTTTTTTAAAAAAGATTAATCGTAAAGATAAATTAATAAATGTTATCATTTATAATTTATGTTTCAGGACTAAGCGCATGCGAAAGGAAGTCTTTTATATTCTTAAGGAAGGAGCTACCAGTACGACTCGCTAATATTATGAAAGAAATTCATTTATTACCCGATAATTTATTAAAAACGCCTAGTGTTGTAATGGTCAATAATTTATACGTCACTTCGTTCGAAGAAATAATACATTTCGAAAAGTCCGAAGTTAACGAAAGTACTTTGGATAAGTGAGTTTATTATTATTATTATTAATTATCAATTATTAATTAATATTAATTTGTTTTAATTTTTTTTTTATCAAATTTCAAATTCAAATTAAATTCCATAACAAATTTCCATTTGTTTCATAGATTTTGTCAAGCATTAATCAAAATAAGAAACAGGCATAGCGATGTTGTTCAAACCATGTCTCAGGGTGTTCTTGAATTGAAGGATTCTTACGACGTTGACATTCAAACGGAAAACAGCATCCAGTATTTCCTCGACAGATTTTTTATGTCTAGAATTTCAATCCGTATGCTTATCAATCAACACAGTAAGTTTATTATATCATTCTGTTTGATTATTTATGGAACGTTTAATAATAAATTTATTTATTCATTAATGTAAATTATTGTTTCATTTAAGCTTTACTTTTTGGTGGGATATTAAACGGTCATAGCAGACATATAGGATGCATAGACCCATCCTGTGATGTTATTAGCGTTATCAAAGACGCCTACGAGAATGCACAGTTTCTATGCGATCAATATTATCTGGCTAGTCCGGCATTGAATGTGAAGCAACATAACGGCAAGTTTGAAAAATGTTGATTGTTCTAAAGTAGCAGTAAGTGTTTATCGACATATAGATCATAATACGTTATTATTTATTTCTTTTTAGTAGGTATAGTAAAATAATATTATCAGAATCAAATAGCATTAAAAAAACTAACTACTAGATGATTGATAACGAAATAAAAATTAATTGCTGATTAAGATAAAAAGATAAAAATAATATTAATCGTAATCGTTACAAATATTATCTTTTCAGAACTTGAACGAGGAAATGAAATAAGAATAGTTTACGTACCGAGTCATTTGTATCACATGCTATTTGAATTATTCAAAAATAGTATGAGAGCAGTTATGGAATATCACGGATCGGAATCTGACAATTATTACCCGATCGATGTTACGGTTGTACGGGGAAAAGAAGATATATGCGTGAAGGTGATTAGAATTTAGGAGAGATATGGTTATACATGACTATGACTATAAAATTGAGATATATCGATGGAGATCGGTTTGGTTGGTTCACTATCGAATTTTATTAGATATCTGACCGTGGCGGTGGGATACCTCGTTCGCAAACGGATCATCTTTTTAAGTACATGTATAGTACCGCGCCACAGCCGAGCAAGGCTGATGCACATACTGTCCCTCTAGCTGGCTATGGTTATGGTCTTCCATTATCACGTTTGTACGCTAGGTATTTTCACGGTGACATCGTTTTGCTAAGCTGCGAAGGTTATGGTACTGATGCGATTATTTATCTCAAGGTAATTATTGTTCTCTATTTTTTTTTGTTATTCCACAAATACACGAATAAAAATAATAAAGTATAGTACCTCTTACGAAATTTGTTATTTTTTTTTTTCATTGCAGGCACTTTCCAATGAGGCAAACGAATTGTTACCAATATTCAACAAGACTTCATCAAAGTTTTATCGGACCCCAGTTCCTACGGCTGATTGGAGCAGTCAATGTGGCGGTGGCATGGCCACTAGACAACTCAGGATGAGTTATAATCAAGGACACAGGTTACCTCACGGTATGGAGGTCGGTCATTGTTAACGGAATTTTTTTTTATCTATCTACCTTTATTTTATTTTATTATAAATTTAAATTTATAATATTAAAACAATAAAAAAACAAAAAAAAACAAAAAAGAAAATAAAAAAAGAAAGAAAACAATTTAATGATTTTAAAAGAATCGAATTTAATTTTTTTTTGTCGTAAAATTTGCGTATCTCAGCATAGTCTTCTCGTTTGTTTTCATTATTTCAGTCAGATACCTCGAAATGAGCTTCGGACAAGATAAATATCCAGTAATGGCATAATTATTAGCAATCTGAGATATCGAAATCTATGGATACTATAATTTCGATGTTATCGCGAGATATAGAGATTTTAACGTACGATTAGCTCCTGTAAGAGATATATTTACGGCATAAATAAAAAAAAAGTCAACTTAGATTTTTTTTTAATTTTAACGTCTCATCTTACGTATTGTAAATTCATGTGAGATATTACATATCAAAAGGAAAGAAACAAAAAACAACCCCTCAATAGATATTCGCCCGAATTGTTAAATTTTGTTATTTTGACAAAAGAATAATATTTAATCGAGTTTTATTAATTTTAAACAAACAATCATCGAATAAATCATTGTCATCGATGGTGGATCGCATAGTAAGCAAAATAATAAAAAAAAAACAGTAACAAATGATGAATCAACCGTATCTCTACTTAAAGAATTGTACATATATGATTTTTGCTTACTCGATCATTTGTTTCCTCTTATTTTAAGGTCAACGATGAATGGGAAGCATTTATCTTGACAACGTACGACGCATTTTTTAATTGAAAAAGATAAATATATATATTATAAATTCAAATATCAGTTGATAAAGAATTAAAATCCATATTTATTATTTTTGTGGATTCTATCAAATATACGGATACCCACAAAATGCAGACTGTGATGTAGTAGGCAATTTTAATTTTTAATTATTAATAGACGAAAAAAAAACTTGTTAATTGTTAACAACGCTGCACAACGCGTGTGTATATCTCATATGTATTAATATTTAAAAGGAAAAGAAAAAGAAACAAACAAATTATAATTTTACGTGTAGCTTATATATATTCAAGTATGTATATTATATACAGTGGTTTTCAAACTTTTTTGTCCTATCGCTCCTTTTTCAGAAAAAATATTACTTATCGCCCCTTGAAAATTAATTTTTTGGTTTCCTTTTTTTTTTTAGTAACACAAAAAAGAAAATTCAAAAGTTTATCGCCCTCCCTTCCCCACCCTTCCCCATCCCCAAATGCGCCTGTGGCCATCATTGCCCACTTTGGGAACCACTAATTATATACTTCTCTCTCGAAAGAAAAGAAGACAGATGTGAGAGAGAGAAAGAAAAAGAAAAAGGAGAGAGAGAGAGAGAGAGAGAGAGAGAGAGTCGCTTTTCGTCTCACATACAGAAAGTATTTTTTATCGTAGAATAATAATTCATCTAACAATTTAAAAAAAAAGAAAGATGAACGTTAAATATTTTCAATAATACCTCAATTTTTAATAAGGACATTTTATAAGGAGTAAGCTTCAAGAATATTGTAGAATCAATTGTTTTTCTTTTATAAGAAAAACTTTGTCCTTGCGAGATTCTCCGAAAGTAAATAATACACACAGGGGATTGTAGTTTTTTAACTTATACTTGGCATAAAGAAAAAACCAATAAGCATAATATTCCAAGATCCATCATATTTTCTTTGTTAAGATATCATATGTCATATTCGCTTGATTTCTTCGAAAGTCGAGTTAATGCTTGTAAGTAATACCAAAAGAATTTACAATTAGAAATCTAAGTTTTTTTTTTTTTGTACTTTTACGTTATTTTTATTTAATTTTTTGTCTTTGTTTCGTTTACCTTTTAATCGTAATTGTAATTTTAATTTTGTAGTTAATTTGTATTTTAAAAATCTATAAATTACTACGGTGTACTCGTGATAATACAAAAATATAAGTATAATTTATAATTGTGTTAAATTAAGCAAGAATGTGTATATTTGTTATTTTTCACAATGGTTTGTTTTTAATTAAAATTCTTTTCTTTTTTTTTAACATATAATTTGGGAAATAATTTTTATCAAAATATCCTGTTTTGTATATATAAATATATTATAGATTATAATATTTTAAAAATGAATGATAAAAATGTCATAGATTATCGTACTTATTACGAGAATAGAAATTAGAAATCTTCATGCGCGTAGCATGGTATTGTGAAACATTGTTAATAAAGAAATTATAATAGACTTTTATATTTTAAAAACTTTATTTTTATGGAATATATTATAGGTCCTTTAACGTTGATCGGTTTTCGATCGATGGTAAGTAGTTAAAGGAATTTATTTATACGTCGATGTGTATTTTTTATTACATTTTTGACTATGCATACCAAGATTGAAAATAATAATTTATCCCTTATATATATACTCGTACATCTTTTTTTCATTTTGAATAATAAAAAGTACATTTTTTAAGTGATATAACAATATTTGATTTTATAAAATAAGTTGTGGTTTTTCCTTTTATATACATACCTATCTTGATTTATTATGATTTTACAGGTGTTTCGCGCTTTTTTTTGTTTTGTCTTTTTATTTTACATAAACATTACGATGCATCATTATTATTTGTTTCCTATCGTCTTATCAATTATATTTATAAGAAATAACAAACTATACATATACAGGTGCCGCACACATTAAGATTTATCGTTATTATTTCAATATATTGTTTATTATTATACAACATTGCTAATTGAAAAAAAAAAGAAGGGATTAAAAAGAAAACATATTTGAACAGGAAGAAAAAGTTCGTTAAAAGAATTAAAATAAAGAGTCAATTCTATAAAAAGAAAGATAAAAAAAATAGAGAAAAAATTACTTCATAAGAAATTAGCGGACGCAATTAACGACGTAACGATTTTTAAAATTTCCAAATTTTTTTTCCCTTTTACTTTTCTTTTTTTTCCTCCCCTCTTCTTTTGGTTTAAATTTGGCACTATAAAAGTATTTTATTATTGATAACAATGAAATTACATAAGTTGCTGTAACTTTATATAAGAAACTACTATATATATATACAGTATTTGATATTTGATATATATATATATATATATATATATATATATATATATCCCTTGATTTTTATTTATCACAATATTAATTATTAATTAGCAATTTTATCTATATCCAAAAAGAGATTATACCAATTAATCGTCGTCCGTTAACTCCAAAAATACAATCTCGCGTTTATTGTTTTAAACTTCATACGTACAAGTTTCAAGAGGTATTTTTAAGATTGCATGTTTTTTATTGTTATTATTGTTGTTGTATGAAAATTAGATTCATCTTTTTTTCTTTTTTTGTTTCTTTTTGTTTTTCTTGTCTTTTTTTTTTCTTTAAAATACAATGTGAAATATTATACCGCTATTAAGCTTTATTTTGTTGTGTTGTGAATGGGAAAAAATTTGCATGGAATCGTCAATATTATTTCTTTTTGTTATTTTTCTATTTCGTTTTTTTTAAACATTAATATTTTAATATATTATATTTTATTATTTTATATTATATTATATTATATTATATTATATTATATTATATTATATTATATTATATTATATTATATTATATTATATCATATATATTATATTTTTCTATTGTTTGCAATTTGTGATTTTGAAGAGAACATGACCAGGTTTTTGCAAAAAAATGATAGTAATTATTTATATTCAATGAAGATACTATTCGTTATCTATGCTCTTATATACATTTACAGCATGGCAGTGGTACTATAACCCACAATTCATTGTTCTTTTTTGTTGTTTTTATTTTTGTTTACGTTTTTTTGACATAAACTCGACAAATTGTAAAATTTATTTTCTTAATTCCAAGTGATAAATCACAGTTTTTATTGATCTTAATTCTTTTTTCTTTTCTTTTCTTTGGTCTGTGACTTAATCATCGAGACATATATAAATCACTTCTGCAGATCAAAATAACGCGTCCATTACTTTTTTTTCATCAATTTTTTCCTCATATCACAAATATATTGTATTTTTTCATTTAACCTTTTCTTTCCTTTATTTTTCTATTGTTTTTTCTTTTTCATTATCGCACTTTTTTTCTTCCTTTGCTGCAATACTCTTTTACATGATCGAAAAAAACAAATGCTGTTGATTGAATCGTACGAAAAAAAAGGAGACAAAAATATAAAAGATATTATAGAACCATGACCATAACCACGATCACGATCACGATCACGACTAGGACCAACGGGGGGATTAGAAAATCGAAATAATATCCAAGATTCATAAACATGATTCGCGTTGTATCTTTTTAAAAACATCATTTATACTCATGACTCTAATGAAATAAATAAATTTTTATCTTTTTTATTTTTTTTTCTTTGTATTTTAATCTTAAATTATCTTTAAATGCTCTTACCTATTTAAAAAATAAATAATAAAAAAAAAACAAACAAATAAAAAAAAGGAAAAAGCGAACGAAAAGTAAAAAGACAAATACACAAGTAGTTTTATTATAATATAAAGATCTAAAGCTTTTAAAAATCATTGGTAAATTCATATGTCAATTTATAGTGATATTTATAATAATAATATTAAAACAAATTCTAATTGATATATATATATATATACATACATGCATATATATGTATATATGGTTTGGTTTTTTTCTTTCTCCATACAATTTTATTCTATTATCAACAGGTTGCGTACCATCCCAGCCAAAATTGATTCGTTTCTAATCTAGTTTAAAGATAGAAAGAGATAGTTAAATAGATACATAGATAGTGATAGAGAGACAAGGAAAATAATTAATTACATTACGGAGGATTAATTGGATATGGAGTACGAAAGATGGTACACCATATGACAATGACACATAGTATAGAATAGTAGTATGATTAGGTATAACTCTTTATCTATTATGTTTCTCTCATACGACATTAGTATAATTAATTCTAAAACATATGCTCTACCCAAATATTTGTTTTACAATAATTAATTACTCTTTATAGTCTATCAAAATATTCATCACAGTGCTACGGACACAAGTATTTATGTGTTCTTTATGTTTATACGTGTAAATAATGATTCTTCTTTATTTTTTTTTTTATAATAGTTAATTAAGGAAATATCACATTACCAGGCCACTCCCTGAAAGCAATTTAATGCCAAAAGGGAAAAATTTCTGCCTACTATTTAAGATATAAATAAAATAATAATAATAATAATAATAATAATAATAATAATAATAATAATAATAATAATAATAATAATAATAATAAACTGTACATATACATATACATATACATATACATATACATATACATATACATATACATATACATATACATATACATATACATATACATATATATATATGTATATGTATATACATACATATGTATATGTATATGTACATATATTTATAGAATATATTATTACGGAGAACGCTTGGTTTGGAATAGTCAAAAGAATATCCTATGTGACAAATTTAATTTTTTCAATGTTTAACTCTGAATAATAATAATAATAAATTTGAACTTATTTTTATGTATTTTTATTTTTTTATTTTAAAAGAACACAGTAGTATCACAAATTTTGTAATTTTAATATCATAATATGTATAGTATATATATATACTAGATTAAAAATATCTCAACGAGAGGTCCGATATTTTGATATTTCCTATTTATTTATTTGTTTTTTTTTGTTATCACTCATTTCTTTCTCGTTTATTAGGGTTAACTACTACATACAGAGATGGCAGTATTATCCCATTTAAAAAATCTTAGTTGACTTTACAATATTAGACTATATTTACAGATATTAATTGAAAGAATGAGAGATATTTCCAAAGAGATCATATAGCTTGCGACAAATTTCGATGTTAGAAAGAATTAAATGAAAAATGTAATTGCTTCTTTTATCCATATCTTCATTTTTCGCAAAAGTTACAAAGTTGAATCAACAAAATAAAGAAGAACCAATCGTTTGAAAAATTCGCAAACTAAAATAAGATACTACTTAGGCGAAATATAATTTTTATCAAATTAAATTAAATGTCAAAAAATATAATCTGAAAGAAAACAAATGAATCTTTCATATATATATATATATATAACAGATGTAACTTAACATGTAGAAGAAACACATACCACCTTTCTAAACCCAAAAAAGAAACAAAAATTAATAAACAACGTAGAAGAAACTAATCGCAAGCTAATGCTACTAAGCACATCCCACGTTATAAGTATATTTTAAAACATACCATCATAAGAGAGCAAAGATCATATGAATGATCAATTATTCACATAGCTTTCAAACTGATTATTATTATCGTCTCCCTTTAGTGTGCCAACGTTAAATTTCTTTGTTTTTTCGATACATTATCCCTCTTTTTTGTTTGTGTGTGTGTGTGTTGCGTGTATTATAAAAAAAAGAAAAATAAAAAAAAATTTTCTTTTTCTTCTTCTCGCATACACAATACGACGAATCAAACCTCAACATGAAGGGAACTAGGTGGGCGGAGCGATCGGCAGCAACCCCATGGAAAGAACCACGAGGCTCAGCACCTTGGTGAAAATTTTGGATTTGTAGGACCATGAATATAACTTCTAAGTTCTTTTGGTGGTTCTGATCCAAAATCCGAAGCTGTATCTACATCGGATTTGCGACAAATGATCATACGTATGTCTGTGTGTAGATAAATCTTTCCTGATTTACCAGACATGAATCTATAAAAGAAAAATAAATATATTATTATTGATGATATTAGAAAGTGGATAGGAGTAGAAGAGATAAAATCTCGGAATACCGATTATATGCGTTCTAATTAAAAATTTCATTTGTCGTATGAGTTTTGCCTAAAATTACGTAATCCTAATGTGTATGATTGGTAAATAGTATTTTTATCTAGACTGGAAATTTTGGTAAAGAACGTATATGGTAGGTATGCCGATAAGAAAAGCGTATGTACCTAAGGTGTACGAGGTAGCGTAAAGTTTTATCCCGTAAAGTTCTTTGACGTAAAAAAGTATGAGATCGTGGCGGCATATCGGAAAGATCATACAGAACTACGAACATCTTGACGACTGTACCCAATGGATTCAGTAGGGTTACTTGAATGGTACCACTTCTAGGTACCTGATAACCTTTCTTTCCTAGATTAATATGAGCCTATAATAAAAAGGAAAGAGCAGTGTAAGCTGGAATAGCTTTTGTGGAAAAAAACGTTTAAGACAATAGATAATTGAAAGTAGAAAAGAATGAACGGACGTACGAGGTACGGTGTAGAGACTTTGTCATTGTCTCCGAGAGTATAGAAGAACACAGTAACTGGAAGCTTTCGATGTTTAGGACAGAAGGAACCACTCGCACCAAGTTCCGCTGTGAACCCGTGAACAGTCGATACTGGTTCGAGTCTCCCGTTTAAAGCTGATTCCTCGAAACTGCCCAATAGGGCATGACTCTGTGGCCTGTTTCGCGAGGTCGAACGTCTTCTCGGAGGTTCTTCACCTTCGCAAGTATTCTCTGTTTCTCGATCAGTTTCCTCCAACGAAACCGCACCTGGACTTGGTGGCGTGTTAAGTTCAAACAGCGCACTGTTTGAGAAAAAATTACAAAACAAAAAGATATCGTTAAAGGATTATTAAATACGAAAAAATCTTTGGATTGATTATCATAAATGGTAGTAAACAGTTACTAATCGTGTACCTTCTTTTCGAAGAAACGGAATTTAAGCTACTGTCGTAGTCGAAACAGCAGCTACCTCTTCTCAATGGCGCGGGACTTGAGGTTAAAGGTAATCCAGTTCTACTATGGAATACCATCGACGCTGCATTCTCTAAAGACCTTCGAAACCTCTCTTGTTCGATTGCTGAAGGAACCGCTTTGTCAATATTCTCATCCTCCTCGATATTGCTACTTAAACCAACAGCTTTCTGATTGTTAGTTCGTATTTTGGAAGACGAGAAATTGCTTTGCAACGACGAGATTGGTGTTAAGCTGCTGATATTTTTAACCGCGGATGAAACAGGATCTTTATTATGTGTTTTATTATCTCGATTAGTTTGATCTTCGCATTCATCTTTATCATTCACGGTAGTTTGATTTGTACTGTACAGTCTATTCACGTTTGTACAATGATCTTCCGTGTAATTTGTACTATGAATCCTTGAGTTTTGATGTGCGCCATTTGTACTAGAATCTAAAGACGACGGTTCCGCCGATCGTTCATCGTTCTTTCTTTCTGTCTCATCGTGAAAATTCGAAAAATCTATCTTTCTCTTAACCTTGACCTCTCTCAAATTACATGTCGTATTATCCACCGATTTACCGGTTTGGGCATTATTGCAAGATAAATTTAAATTTAAACTATTCAAACGTTGCGAAGAATTTCGCAAGTATTGTTGCTGAAAATGATCTTCCGTCGCAGTGCATACTTTCTTTTCTTGTTCTTTTTTAAATAGCTGACGAAAACGATTGAATTTTTTGTTCAATGCCAATGGTAATGACTTATCGTCTTCGCTAGATGTAATTCTCGAATCATATTCAAGTTTTTCGATCGAATTTGGCTGTTCAAACCGTGAATTAGTTTCATTATCAACTTTTGAATTTACCACGGCACTTTGAGATCTGGTCCCGTTACATATATCCGTTAACCCTTTCCGATCTCTGCTAGTTCGCAATATGGCCCCCAATAATACATCTGCCTTGTTCGATACACTTTGCAAACAATCGACCGTATTATCACTGACACGTTTGTCAGTTACGCAAGATTTATCGCTTTTCGATTCATCGTTGACATAATTACCAAGTTTGTCTTTCCTCTCGTGGATTGGATTATATATATTCTTATTGCCATAAACACGATCTAACGTGACGTTTTTATCAGCCAATCGATACTCATTTTTCTTGCAATATCCATGATTGCAATTTTCGCAAGGTTTAGTCCGTGTATCAACGTGGTTGACAACGAGATATTCGTTCGAATCCATATTAGTGGGAAATTTAACTGTAGGTTTTTCAAACGAGCTATCTTCTACAAATTTTTCATATCTATCGCGTCTTTTAATAGTTTTCAAAGGAGTCCTTTTACGTCCGGATGGTGTTCTGGCTCTTAATACGGCCAAAACCTCGTCGAATTCGCGCTGGCTCAGTTCCAAATTGCAGTTTTTAAACTTGACCTCGTTGTCATACTGATCCTGTGATTTCAAATTCGGGTCTTTGGCTTTACCATTTTCAACGTAACTGTTGTTGGGCGAGACACCTAGAACACGACTTGGTACTCTGCTAAACCAATCCAATATACCACCTTCCTCTCTGGGTTTATCCTTATCGCATTGTTGTCCTTCGGGAAAAGATAATTTTGACATCATCTGATTTAAATCTTTATTAGGTTTTCCACGATTTTTAGGATTATCATCGATTCTAAAAGAAGTTTCCTTACCATCGCCATATTCAAAGCCGTTTATCGATGATTTCGGTCGAGTTTGGTGTACCGTACAAGGTGATTCAAAGATATCGTGTTTAGGTTTCAAATAGGAGTTTTCTAACGTCGACGGTCCTGGATTGGATTCGTGAAAAGGATTAGCTCGTTTGAAGGGATCTATCACAGGTGGTGTAGGAACGGAATACATCCTTGACGAGGAGGATGATCCATTGAAACGTCCTTCCTTTGGTCCTCGTAAACTTTGAAAGCCGCATTTCCCATTGGCACCGCTATTGTTCCAAGATTCTACGAATGACCACGGTAAGGAAGAATTAAATGGTATGAGATTATCGAAGAAACCGTTCTTTTCCATCGATTTATTTTCAGCCAATGTACTAGCGCAATTGATGTTCTTACGAAAGCTACCGCTGGTACCATCACTACCATCACCACCATCATTTCCACCATCACCACTTCCATCAACGCCACATCCTTTCTCCGAACGTTGTGTTTTCTCTTCGGTAACTAGCTCGCACGATTTCGCTTCGGCACCGTTCATGCGTTCATTATTGTCGAGTGTACGCTTGTAACGTTTCTCAATGTTACCATCTCGTTCTTCTATACTCAACTGTGCTTTAAAGCAACGCTCGAGATTGTCGGAATTAAGATTATTGCGACTCTTAAGGGTGTTATCTTCAAAACGATTATGATGATGTCCGTTTGTAAACTTTATAGCCGAAACTCCACGATTATTTAATATTTCCGATGATGATCTTGGATAACTCGAGCTCGAATTAGTAACGGACAGATCGTTATCCCTTTGCTGTTCTCTAACAATTAATTCACGAACAGCTGGCAGTGGCATAGCCTGTAACGTTACGCAGGAATTGATATCAGGTGGACCACAAGGAAGGGATCTACGACGTTTTCTTTCGCCAATAGGCCTAGCAATCGATGGGGAAGGTGGTGAAACGTCTTCCTCTTCGCAACGACAATGATGTTTTCCTGGCTTGTTGCACGGTGTTTGAAGCCTATCATCCAGCAGTACTGTTTCAACATATACCATAAACATTTATATTTTATTTATCGTCTCGTTTAAAAATTGTGACGATATTTGAGAAAATAATAGAAAAAAATCATCCAATCATATCTACTTACCCGGCATGACGAGATTGTCAGTATTTTGCGAAGAGTTGCTCGATACCGAGACGGGAATCGTTTTGGTTGGAGTCAGAGCCCTAGCAACATTTGTCTCCTCATCTTTTTCCTTGATCGGATGTAACGGACAGCTAAGTATTGGCACCTCTTCCATCCGTGGCAATGCCCAGACGGTGACCTAAAATTGACATCAGAAATCCTCTTCAGGTCCATTAAATGCATTCATACAGCTCGTACAAGATTGGATAGTCGGTGATTCATCTGTCGGTTAAAAGTGGGTATAGTTAGTGTCCTCGGGCATTAAAATAGAAGCGAGGAAGGTAATACGGTTCGTTTACGAGTAAACCACCATGCGAATGTACGGGGTGATGCGATGATATCTTTATCAAGATATTTGGAGCCTGGGTCCAAAAGTCGATGTCTGTGATTAACAACCATGATCGATTTCCAAAAAAATGATACGTTTCCTATGTAGACACTAAGAGAGAAGGAGAAAGAGAGAAAGAGAAATAAAGAGGTAGATAATAGAAACGTCTCGATAGCAACGTCAAATTGCATCAAACACCCTGTATATATTGCGAATGGTTCAATGGACGCTGTGTGATCTCGCTCTTTGAAGAGATACGTGAGTAATAACAGATTACTTCCGACGCTCTTGTACATATGTATAATACATATATATGTTAAGTATATGTGTAACAAACGTAGAAAATATCATATACGAGTGACGTCTGCCTATAAGGATCTCAAATGCAGATGTTCACTTGAATTCTAACGAGTAGTGTCTTCTTCTTCTTCTTCTTCTTCTTCTTCTTCTTCTTCTTGGAGATACGATAAATATGTATTATAAACAAATCGTGCAATCCAAATACACACATGTGGTTCATGTCCGTAGAATGGATTATATATTCGAAGAGAATAACACATTCCAACTAAAATAACGTGTTCTAATATTTTTCATAAAAATACAAGCGAAAAAATAAAGGAGCCCACGATAAAAGGCAAATGATTTCTTACCTTGATGGAACTTCCATCGCCGTTACCGGCAAGTGGAAAGGTATGTTCAACCGGCGAATCATTAAATTTCCTTAGATTATCCTCGTTGTGCGGTACGACCCTGGTTGCCACGTAATTCGGTTCTATTCCGTTACTCCTGGACCACCAGGCGGCAACTTGGCTAAAATGTAATCTAGAGCGAACTGCTTGATAAAGTCCTTGGAAATTCATCGTTTCCGGGCTCCTGCAGAACGTTGTATCGTCATCGTTTGTCGTATTCAAATGAATAATCATTTGACTAAATATACGAATTTATGTATTTCTATATATATATATATGAATGTAGGATTTTAAGTATCGGTTTACAACTTACTTGCTTGGTATAACGCAGATGCACCAATACTCCAACAAAAGCTCGGAAGTTTGTTGCCATGGTGAGATGGATAAGGACGGTACAGAGCATATTGGGTGCTTACTGGTGGCTTTTGCTAAGCCACATTGACAATTACTGCAGAGTAGTACTTCAACGCATAGGAAAGATCCGATCACGGTCCGATCAGCGAGTTCTCGAACTAGGATAAGGTACCGGTCGCACTGCATGTACCGATAATAGAAATCATATTTATTACAATGAAAAAAAAAAATCTTAATCAAATGAAAAAAATCTTAAGCATATATATACACATTACAAATCTAGATAATTTACATGTGTAAGTTTAAATCCATTTTATGAATTTATCCATATCGATATCAGTGGTTAAGAAAAGACAAGATTTATTCGTTCTCGATCCCGAAAGTTAGCGAATTAAATTTGATCCTTAGGAAAAGAGATTAAATTACAACAACCTATGGCTATCGAATTCGATATCCCAAAAATTTTTTCGGTATCTTTTTTATAAAGAATAGAGAAAGAGAGAGTTTTGAATAATAATACTACTTTAACCATAAAACCACCATTCTTTTATTGGCAAATAATACTAACAACAACACGCGATCTATTTGTGTTCCTATGTTTTCCCGCGTAAGCTAAACTATATCGTGTATTCTGAAAACCATATCCGCCAATTGGAGGATCAGAGACACGCGTGGTCTGACAATGAGAGAAATGCGAGTTGTGAATCATGAGTCATACCTTCACGTGTATCTTACAAGAAGGTAGTACGAATTATCGTCTCGCGTGACCTGTCTTTTTCTGGAATCGTACTTTACAATCTTACAACGTGCAAATGTACATCTGTTCTACCTTACAAATGCAAATTGTAGAATTTGCTTTTTAATGATTAATCTAATCGAATGATCTATTTAAGATTTTTCGTTTTAGAAAATAAATGGTATATATATTTATACGAGTTATTCGTTAATAAGTCGATTAATTGCATGAAACAAAAAGTAAAGAAAAAAATTGATCTCATATAATAACGTTGGGACTAATTATTAAATAAATTTATTGAAAATATATCAAATTAAGTTTCGATCAAGCAACTTATTAATAAAATTTGTAAATATTATAAAAGTAGAGTTATTAATCACTACGGTCTACGAACATTTAATATAAATATATTAAAGTAATTTTCTCTTTCTCTCTCTCTCTCTCTCTCTCTCTTATTTTAAGTTCGATGAGTGGTACTTTCCCCAATAAAATATAAAAATATCTTATAAATGTTATATAACAAATGTTGGCATTTGATGATAATTTTTGACGTTCATTTCAATACCGAACCATAAAAAATATGAGTTTATTAAAAATTCAAATAACGCTTATATAATTCGTATTTTATTATTCGTATTTATTATTAAATATTTTTTACCGACATACCAAATAATTGTCCTCTTCGCAAACGTGGTTGTTAGGGAAAGGTTGCATAGGCGGTGCACAATGCGGGCCCTCTTTGTACCCACGAGGAGGACCCTGAATTCTCCCTTCGCAAACAAGGACTCCAAGAGCTCGGAACATACTAAGTATACCACCTCGACTACCAACCCCATTTGGGCTGGAAGTGCTCCCTGTCACCGCACCTAAGCAGTGCATTCCTATAACAAAGTCAAATGTAAAATAAATTAATAAATAAATCCTATAAAGTAGTGTAATATTTATATATATATAAAAGATGTCTCAAAAATTATGGATCAACTGAAATGAAGTAATAAGAGAAATTAATTTTATTAACAAATGTTTATGCATAATTTGTATTTTTTATTATTATTCTTCTTCTTCTTCTTTCGTTTACTCTATTCTATATCGACGTGTTAGGATATTTTTGAAAAGATTCATTTTGACCAAAATAATTTCATACAAAAAATGATTCTATTTTTATACACATTTGTTTTTTCTCTAATTGGAAAAGCAAGTAATTGAGATAATTATTATAACTTTAATTAGATAATTAAAAGTATGTTTTTTTTTTTTTTTAATCTATTAAAAATGATGTATTTAATAGCAACTTTTCGTTTTATCCATGATTTTAGATACACCACCCGTATATATCAACGTATAATGTTGATACATTGCAATATTGCAAAAGATCTGTATTAAATATCAAAGTGAAACCTTAGAAAAGATATTTCCCGAACGCGAGAATCTTTTCTTAGTTAGTATAATAAATTCGGAGTAAGAAAATAATATCGGCTAAATTCGTTTTAACGATCAACTGACACATACGAGTGAGAGAAGAGGAGAAATTGGCACGAGACCAAAGGGCTTCTCTTCCGTTCTTCTCGCAAGGTCGACTATTCCAAGATAAAGAGACAATGATTCCCGTAGCTGATATTCGATATATCTAACTAAATGACTAATTATATATAACACGTCACTCAATAAGTTTTTGGTCTAACACATATGTAGCAACACTATTGACAAACCCATATGATTTTCGTGTAGTATTAACCTTCAAACAGTACGTATCAAAATTTCATCGTATTCTGACCATTAGTTTAGAGGTTACAGTCGTTTTAAGGGGACACGTCAACAAAAAAATCGATTTTTTTTTCGATTTTCTGAAAGAATATTATTTCAAAAATATTTCTTCAAATTTTGGTAAAGATCCGCCCATTATTTACGAAACTGTAGTAGTTTAAACTGAGCGCGCCGTATTGATCCAAGTAAGTGTCCAAAACTTTAAACGTTAATTTCTCCTATTCGCGTTTTTAAAACGGTTACCCTCGCTGCGTCCAGACCATTTATCCGATCCTTACCAAATTTTGTACAGTAATACTAGATACACGTATCTAGGGAATGAACGGAAGGATTTTTCGAAAAAATGCTAATTTTTTTTTCTTTTCTCAAAAACTCGGCGATTTTTCTGCAAAAATGTCATTTTTTTCGTAAAAAATCGACTATTTTGAGAAAAATTAAAAAATCAAAATTTCCTGTCGTTCATTCCCTGCGCCAACATCTCTACTAAAGGATAACACTCGGTTTTTATGTTTCTGATGAACCAATTTTTGCCAGTGAGGGCAACCGAAAATCACCTTTTTTTTTGGACTCTTAGAAAAGTGGCCACAAACGACACAATTTACAATATTTTTACACACAAAAAATTGTGAATATAGTTCAGAGATATAACTTACATATGTCAAAAATTTGTATTGATATTAATAAAACTGGCCGCAAAAAAAATTCACAGAAAAACCGCTTTTTTTTTGCACTCGAAGGTGACGTGTCCCCTTTATGACCCCAGTTTTGTAATTTTCCAGACAATGGATAGTAAGGAATTTCGTATGTTGATTAAACACTGTTTTTTGATGGATAAAAATACTGTTGAAGTCAAACAGTAGTTTGATAAGCATTATGGGGACTCTACATTAGGGAAATCAACTAATATTTACTGGTATGCTAAATTTAAAGGCGGTCGTACAAACACAGATGATGCTGAACGCTCTGGTCGCCCAAATTTAGCAGTTGTTCCGGAAAACATAAAAAATGTCCACAAAATAGTTTTAAAAGACCGTAAAATGAAGTTGCATGAGATAGCTGACACCTTGAAGATATCAGAAGACATCATCAAACTTTCATGTGTACTGATTTCTGTCTCTGAATATCTTTTAAAGGCTTAATTTAATCGCCAAAACATAAGACACCATTTTTATAAAGCAGTTAATTTCCTATAAAAATTTGTATTGCGCATTTTATAATAGTCATTTATTGTCGAGTTATAAAATTCATAAACAAAAATACAATTTGTCTTAAAATAATCAAACTTA